AAATGGTTGGTTTAAAAAAATCCTTTTCTTTCACATGGGGATTATCTAAAGGTATACTGTTATCAAATAGATAATCAAGAATGTAAGGGGACTACGATTTATTGGGGGGAAAATAATACTAATCGTAATTGAATATATAATGTACAATGAAAGTGAGGTATTTAGTTATACTAGATGAAAAATCTGTGATGGTAAATGTTCTTCGAGAATATGGATGTTAAAACACCTATAACCAAATGACATGCTGTATGTGATGATGCTTTTTTTTGTTTTGTTGTTGTTGTTTTTTTTTTTTATGTATGTGTTGTCTGTGTAATAAAAAATAAAAATTTATATATATATATAAAAAACTCATTTTGACAGGTGTTAGAATTTAATTACCAGGTCCGATTGCATTTATTGAACTGCATTGTACAGCTTGCTCTTGGGAAATATTATCTTTTAATTGGGATTTGATTAGCCAACAGTATCAACTAAAGGCAAGTAAAATGTGAAGTTTAATTAAGGAGTTGTCAGAAACAAGAAAGCTTTCTCAGTCTCATATTTTTTTCAAATACAAAGCCAGTGCATGACAGGTCTTTAGCTAACCAAGGAGGGGGTTAGATTACAAAGAAGCAAAAAACTTAATAACATATTCTCATATGACTTTCATCTGGCTGTTGGCTAAATTCCACCAAATCAGCTTACTTTCATAGTTGGAATAAGCCAAGGCATTTTCCAGTGAGCAGAGATTAAGTGAAATAACCTACTGGACATTCATACCATTATCAGAGGTAGTTTCATAAGATGGTGTTTTATTCTGCAGAGCACACTGAAGCGAGCAGCAAACGGGAAATGAGGTGAGCAATGTTGCTTACAAAGATACTTATTCACGATCCTACTAGTTGTAATTTTTATAAGGAGAAAAAAACACAAGAACAGACCTGCTGCAATGAATCCCTAGCCCTGTGATGGTGAACCTATGGCATGCATGCCACAGGTGGCACACGGAGCCATTTCTTAGGGTATGTGAGGTGTTGCCCTGTCAGCTCCAGTGTGCATACATACACTGGCCAGCTGATGTCTGCCTTCATTTTCAGCCATTTTTCACCTCCGGAGGGCAAAAAACCAACAACAACGCACAAACCAGAAGTTCGGGAACGGATTTCCAGTTTGCCCAAAGGGCCGTTTTTCTCCCTGACTAGAGGGTAAAAAACAGCCCAACACGCAATCTGGAAGTCAGAAAATGGGTCGTTTCCACCCTCCAGAGGGCCTCTGGGGGGCACAGGGGAGGCCGTTTTTGCCCTCCCCAGGCTCCTAGAAAGCCGTGCGCACATGCACAGGGAGGTAGGGGGGTCACATGCGCATGCGCAGGGGGGTTGCACGGGGGGGGTCATTGTTATGGGAGTGGGCACCCAAGCACGTGGGATAGTGTATGCACTCGTGCTTTTGACACCCAAGGCGAAAAAGGGTTGCCATCACTGCCCTAGCCCATCTAGTCCAGCAGTCTGTTCTCACAGTGGCCAAAGAATTCTATTAGTCTCCCAGCAGATGGTCTTCAAGGCAGCCATTGAAGGGTTTGTATTGGAATGAAAGCTATTAGCTTTTGCTCTTCATAATTTCCATAAATTAATCCAACCTGTTTTTGAAGCCAGCCATGCCAATGGATTCCAAAGTGTTAAAAATGTATAAAATGTTTTCCTTTTGTCTATTCTAGTTCTTCCAGTATTCAATTTCATTGGGCAACTTCTTCTTCTAGTATTTTGGAAAAAGGAAAAGAGCTTCTCTTTGTCCATTTTATCCACACCTTGCACGACACACGTCAATCATGTTTCCTCATGTTCACCTGACTGAAACTAAAAAAAACCAATTGTTGCAACCTTTCCTCATAGGCAATCTGCTCCAGCTGCTTTTTTTAAGCAGATGGCACTAGAATGTGAATGGTAAACATGTTGTATGTAGCACAAACTTTATGTCGTAATGTGTGCTTATAAGTAATTCACCCTGAATTAGCAGCATTCAGCAGCATGGGATCCTAATACAGAAGCAATAACATCTCTTAGGTTATGAAAGCACTAACAGATGGTTTGCTGGGTCTGTTCATCCTAATACAAATCTTCCAAATGTGTTCACTTCAATTCCCATAATCCCTAACTAGCATTGCTATTGTGTAGATTGCAGTCCAGTATACTTAGAAGACACAAATCTCTGTCAAACTGAGCTCCACCCTTGGAGATTTCACAAACATAACCATGTTGTTTCCTTGGCAGTGAAATGAAATTGATTTGTCGCTACTTTTTTCAAGATTATTCAAAACTTTCCAATCTAATTTACGATCCAGGGATTCATGACTCTCTCTCATCCGAGTACCAGTCAAACTCATCCAGATCAGTCAGCATTAGTTGGAAATCATGATGGAAATCTGTCTACCAAAATATCTCCTCTGGATGATAAACACCTTCATTATGCTCCTTTATTCTAAACACTTGCTCTCTCATAATAGCTCTTCTTCCACATTTCTGCATTTGTCAAGCTACCACAGAGTAAAGGGATGAATGAGTTTGTTGCATTTGGAATCCTGTTACGTTATCATTCCCAGAATTGATCTGCATGAACATGACTTAACTTGCACATAGATGTATAATGTGCCCTTTGATATTGAAGAAGATTCTTGAGAACATTGTGAACAGTCATGTAAACAAACCGGTGAGGACCCAGAACTCTTCCTTGAGGTATAGGCTTAAATTATCCTACTTTGTACACTTTATGCAATGCCCTAGGTTTTTTTTTAGAATGTTCTAATGGTAGAAAAGTTGGAGGGAAAGAGAAGAGGAGGATGACAAGGAGCAAGCACAGTTACAATGGCAACGAGTGCACTTTTGAAAGAGCTGAAGGCCCAGGCTAGGGCCAGATCATCATCTATATCAGGGGTGTCAACCTTGTGGTCCGTGGGTTGCATGTGGCATGTGCTGGCCACACCCACACCATTTAGCAAAGGGGGGGAAGTTGCGATATGTCACGTGACGACGTGAGTTTGACATCCCTGATCTATATGGTCGCTAAGAGTTAACATTGTCTTAATCTAATCTAATTAATCACAATATGAAATTTCTTAGCGGGAATTCCATCCCACTCCATGTACAGAGAAATATTGTTTTAATTTTGTTAAGATTTGTAGATTAATTAATTTTGTTAAAAGAATAGTTGGCAGTTAGATGACATCTCAGTTCCAAGCATGAGCTTTTTCCAAACATTGAGCTGTCTCTAAGCCCAAAGCCCACACATACAATTTCCGAAGGTAAGGAGAAGAGCCTGTTTGTTTTCTTTATAACAATCCAGACCCTGACTAGATGATTTCTCTGAGCTAGCTCTTGGGACTCCCGGTTTCTGCAAAAGCCTTT